ATGACTAAAAATGTATTCCACTTAACAGTAACAAAGATGACAGAGTTGAAGAAATATTGCTCTATCGTTTAGAGTTAAGAAAATTTAAAAAGTAAGCACCAGCAAATAAATGAGAAGTTATATCTGATTAATAATAAATGTTCCCTTGAATTAATAAATGAATTATTTGCCTATTCTTGTACTATACATTACTATAAAATTAAGGACTTATAAACAATGTTGCATTAATATCTCACTCATTCTGCGAGTCAAGAGTTCTGTCAGGATTTATTTGGGCCCTTGGCTCAGGACTTTGCACGTCCACAACCAACAAAATACATTTTTATCTTGAGGCTTGACTGGTAAAGATTCACTTCTAAGTTCAGCCACTGTTGGCAGAAGTTAATTTCTTGCAGTTTTAGAACTATGAGTCCAAGATTTTGTTAGCCCTGGCTGAAGGTTGTTCTGAGCTCCTACAGATCACCTACAGTTTGTTGCCACTCGACCTTTCTCATTCTGGCTGCTTACTCTATCAATTCAGCAATGAGAATCTCTAGGCAAAAGTGCTAGCATAATCATAGGTATGACATCCCTCACTTTGCTATGTTCTATTTCCAGAAAGAAGTCACACATAACCCATAGGACATTGCACAAAAATATAGGCACAAGGAGGGCAGTGGTTGGGGGGACCATCTTAGAATCTATCCACTATTGACCACTGGCCTCCAATTATTTGTGTGCCTTCCACGTGAAAAATTCTATCACTCTCTTCCAATGTTCCCCTAAAGTATCAATTCATTAGAACATTTGTCAAAAAATTTCATTATCTACATCAGATGTAGGTATGGAAGAGCCCCTGGGGTATTAGTTAAGTATAACTCCAACAGCACAATCCTTCCAATCCATGATCCTGTGTGACTAAAAAAATGAGTTTTATACCCCTAACACAGCCGACATTCAGTGGTGGGATGGGCACAGGATAAAAGCTATCAACATTTCTATTTTTTCAAAAGGGAAGAAAATAAAAGATATAAAGGAGTAATTCTGAAATCTAATCAGACTGAAGTTTGGAGTTCCTTGTTTAGGGTTCAAAACCTGGGACTAATTCTCTATGGCTTGCTCTGAGTGTCTGTACTACTTTTCTTAGTTTTGGATTCAATTTTGGGCAGAATTCCTCTTCATGTCAGCATACATAGACCAGAACCCCTAAACTTACATGGTTCTTAATCCCTTCCATGTCAAGAAATAACTCACGTTTCTTTAGAGTTACAGCAAGCATCCCAGGGAAGGTTTTACCACATCTGAATCACTTGCCAGTCCTTAAATTAAATCCTGTGGCTAAGATGACATGTACAGTTTTCCAACCATGACCAGATACCTATCGTGACAAGTTAGATTAGGATAAAATTTTAAAAGGATAAATTTTAATAGCCCATTAAGTCTGCTAAAATGTTTAATGGTATAATATAGGAAATGTGGTACTACAGGAAAGAGTAGGAAATACTTTGGAACTAATAGGTAAAGGCAAGGACTTTGTCAATGGACCCCAGCAGCTCAGCAACTAAGAGATAGCATAGATAAATGGGACTTCATAAAACTAAAAAGCTTCTGCTCAACAAAAGAAATGGTCTCTAAACTGAAGAGAACACCCAGAGAGTAGGAGAAAATATTTGCCAGCTATACATCAAAGGACTGATAACCAGAATATATAGGGAATTCAAAAAACTAAACTTGTCCAAAATTAATGAACCAATAAAGAAATGGGCAAGTGAACTAAACAGAACTTTCTCAAAAGAAGAAATTCAAATGGCTAAAAAACCTGAAAAAATGCTCACCATCTCATTAAGGAAATGCAAATCAAAACCACACTAACATTCCACCTCACCCGTTAGAATAGCCATTATTAGAAACACCACCAACAACAGGTGTTGGTGAAGATGTGGGGAAAAAGGAACCCTCTTACACTGCTGGTGGGAATGCAAACTAGTACAACCACTCTGGAAAAAAATTTGGAGACTACTTAAAAATCTAAACATAGATCTGCCATATGATTCAGCAATCCCACTCTTAGGCATATACCCAAAGGAATGTGACATAGGTTATTCCAAAGGCACCTGCACACCCATGTTTATTGCAACACTATTCACAATAGCCAAGTTATGGAAGCAGCCAAGATGCCCCACAATTGATGAATGGATTAAGAAAATGTGGTATTTATACACAATGGAATACTACTCAGCCATGAAGAAGAATGAAATCTTATCATTTGCAGGTAAATGGATGGAACTGGAGAACATCATCCTGAGCGAGGTTAGCCAGGCCCAGAAGACCAAAAATCGTATGTTCTCCCTCATATACGGACTTTAGATCAAGAGCAAATACAAGAGGATTGGACTTTGATCACATGATGAGGCAAGAGCACACAAGGGAAGTATGAGGATAGGCAAGAAACTCAAAAAAAAAAAAAACAAGGTAGCATTTGATGTCCTCAATGCAAAGGAACCAATGTAGAAACTTTAAAGCGACAGAGGCCAATAGGAGAAGGGGACCAGGAACTAGACAAAAGGTTAGTTCGAGAAGAATTAATTTAGAAGGTAACACACATGTACAGGAAATCAATGAGAGTCAACTCCCTGTATAGCTATCCTTATCTCAACCAGCAAAAACCCTTGGTCCTTCCTATTATTGCTTATAGAGATAAGGGCAAAATAGTTTCTGCCTGGTAGCAAGGGAGTAGGGGCAGAGAGGGACGGGGTGCGGGGAAGGAAGGGGGGAGAAATAACCCAAACATTGTATGCACATATGATTAAAAGAAATTTTTTAAAAATGTGGTATTACATTATGAGGGAGAGATTTTCTGATTTGGATCGAGCCATTAAAATTCCATTTATATGAATTAATATTCCAATTTCTGCTTCATCCCTTCCATTCTAACTTCTTCACTTATAAATAATTAGTACTCTTATTATATCTCACACTGTGCAATGTTTAGACAACTCCACCTTGTTCCCCAGTCCAACAGAAAGAGCAAAGGCAGACCAGCTCTACAGCAGCATCCCCATCAGAAGATTTTTCAATGCAAGGAACTAATTTGAAGGAACCAAAACTCCCACCCACTCACCCAAGCAATGTGTAAACTGAACTTTAAATATTTATGGATACCAACATGAGACATTTACAACTCAGACCCTAAGATAAGAAAGCAACATCCCACTACACAACCTCATAGAAATTAGTGGCACAGTACTAAAGAGGAACCGCACAAGAGAAGTAAAGAAACCTAAGGACCATGAACAGAACAGACCATTCCCTCAAATATACTGGTTAAAGGTTAAGTTACTATCAGAAACTCACCATTTGGTTAGTATGCACATTTATTAGTAAATGGATATATATCCCAGTAAAAATATAAATGCTTCTCCTGTTGGAATTTTAATTTCATTATTCTCAAATTTTTGTTATAAGCCCAGTATTGATGATGGTTTGGTAAATCTTATGTTGGTATAAACAGTCAAGACTGGTGCCAGGATAAGAAAAATTAGTTGACTTCCTTACAGAAAGCTATCTAAACATCTTTATTTGAGAACAACTATATTACACATGTAATATAATACCTACTCTGAAATTAAAGAGATTGTGGAAAAATCCAACCTATAATTCCCTGGCCATCAGTATCTTTGAAGGCATCAATGAGACATAATCAAAATATATGAAAGTATAGGTTTCTTAAAGAGAGGAAGAACATTTAGTGCAGATGGTATTATTCATCTTTTGGTCTGGTTAGTTCCTTCTTGTCTTCTAGGGCACATCAGAAATGTCACCTCCTAACAGATGCCTTCCCTGAACCATCCTGTCTGAGGTTATTCCCTCCTTTTTTTGTGTGTCTAAACTTGTTTCCTAAAATAACACATCGCAATTCACAATTATAGAATTTGTTACTTTACATGTTTACTACATGTTTCTCCTACCAGTCTTAAGCTCCATGATACAGGGTCTCCCCCCCAATCTTGATCACCACATTTTCACAAATGCCTAGCACAGTGTCTTTGCCATACTGAATCAAGTCAATGAGCAAATGTAAGTTGGCTATAATGTTTGATAATTTCAACATTAGAAGTTCTCTAAATACTGAAGTCTTTCTCTAGGGTGCTTAGCATATTGTCATTTTAAAAATGTCTTACAAATAGAAGAACTTTCATCCAAGAAGCAAAGATATTGAAATGTAAAATAAAAATGTTTAATTCCTTTTTGAATGTGTCAAATCCAATACAAATCAATAAAGTATTCTTCTAGACCAAAAGGAACCAATGTCAGATTTAGGAGGCAACTGACTGCATAAAAAATCTACACTATACTTTATTTTTTAATAACAAATTCAATATCTTATTCTATAGCTAATGTGTTGTAATAATGATGACTTCTTTACAGCCCAAGATTCTACAACAAAGTAATGGCACAATAAAGAAAGTTTTGTCGTTTTTTTACTCTTTGTATTGTCTTCATATACCAGTAAAAAATAAACTCTTTAATAAATAAATATATAATAAATATTAGCAAACTGAAATGTATAAATAGGTCCATTCTTAAAAAAAACAAATCCCATCTTGATGTGGCATACTTTATAGTCCACAGTCTCCCGGAGTTTTTGTTGTTGTTTGTTTGTTTGCTTTTACTTATAATGCCATGACCTGCAAATTCCTACAAGGTCCTCAGAATTTATGAGGCACTAATTGTGGCCAACTATATCAATCAATTTCTTCAACATGAAGTATCTATTTTTTAAGGTAATTTTCAAAGTAAACATAACCCAGAGAGGTGAAACACCAGCAATACGCTAGGTGGTGCTCCCATCATCCACAGTTGAACTGACATCTTCCATCTACTGGTCAGGACTGAGCCAGGTACTTAAGGATACTTCCTCCACTTGTAGAAGGTGATCCTGATGAACTTCAAGTCAATTTCTTTTTTCAGTATTCTTTCCAAATTTAATCTCCCAGTGAAAAACAGACTCTGTAACATTCTGACTGTCTTCTTCAGTTGTTAATTAACAATGGGAATTGTGATTTAAAACAAAAAAGTATGGTTGGTTTCATTCTTCAATAAAGACATTATTACACTTCAAGTGTACATCAGTAGGTCCTTATACAATTCTGGAACTCTTTCTGGATCCACTGGTCTAGGCAAGAAATGCGTAAATTTTTGATGTCTTTTGGACCGGGCACCATCCCTTGGAGTTCCATCTTTGTTAAGTGCCACAAAATACCTGCGACCAGTGTCTCCATGTTTATATACGTTTGATGAATAGGTGTTGTACCAGTTCTCTTCAAATTGCTCCCTGAAGATGCATTCAGAAGTTAGTTTCTCCTAAAAGAAGAAAATGTATCATTAAAAACACCCTAAAATGACTTCCTTATAAAAGATCTAACTGTATATTTTCATCTCTTTGCTATATCCTGTCAAAGAAGGGAAAAAGTTAAATTATTTTGCTTTATTTCAGTTTTGCTCATATATTATCTGGAATTTTTCCTCCCAGGTGACTTCACCCAGCAGTTTAGTTAAAAAAACTTTAATTCAAATGTCAATGCCCAAACAACTTCATTTTCTATTCTGTTTTTGTTTTGGTTTTTGGTTTTTAGCAGTACCAGGGTTTGAACTCAGGGCTTTGTACTTGCTAGGCTAGCAGTCTTCCACTTGAGCCATGCCTCCAGCACTTTGGCTTTAAGTCTTTCACTTTTTGCCCAGGTTGGCCTTGGACCACGATTCTCTCAATCTTTTTCTCTTATGTAGCTGGGATTACAGGCATGAGCCACCACACCAAGCCCAATTTTATTTTCAAATACGTAATAAATATTCTGAATTTCCATGCTCTCCATATTATCATCCTACTACCATCACCACCAAGCAGGCCTGTAGATTATCTTGTCCCATTATTAGATGCCTAAGTTGCATACATTAAGTCTGTACTACCATCTTGGAGTGTCCAAGATCTTGCTAAGATCCAAATTCCTAATTCAAGATCGTCACCGAAATCATATGTCTTCTTCTTACAAATTTATTGTTTGCTATGTTACCTACGATTAACTACTACATACCTACATTAATATACATGTAAGTAAATATAGAGAAATCCCAATAATTTCTTCTCTTTTCAAGACAGACTATATATTGTCTCAAAGGATAGGCCATAGTTGCTTATTTAATCCAACACATACATGAAGACTATGTGCATATGTTTTCTTTATTGTAATTCTACTCTTACAATCACTGTACACTGCATTATTTTTCTCTTTCTCAGAGCCAGCTCACATTTTTCTCTGAAAAACTTCTCTAGAAACTTAGTAGGGATATAGATTTCTAATTTCCAAATAAGTACATTTTATATACTCCCTTTGACAGACATTTTGGTAAACATTTTAATTATAAAATAGTTACTATTTTAAGAATTATAATAATAATAAATACGTACTGATCCATAGAGTTCTCCTTTGTCATTCATTCCAAGGTAAAGACCACTGTCCACACCTCTAATACTGACCAGACCCACAGCCACACTGATGAATTCCAGGATACCTGAATTTATAAACAAAATAATGATTTTTTTGTGTACATATATATATAATATATATAAGACTATAAGAAAGTGGTGAGAATTAATAGTTTTATGTATTCAACAATAGAAATTATTGTTATCTTAAATAAATATATAATAGAGGTATTCTTGATCCTCCATGGTTCTACTAGTTCATTGTAACCATTTTATATTAATTGTATTTTCTGTTTTTTGCAATGTCTAGTCAGTCTTTTTCTAGCAGCAGCATAGCTTACCGAGTATAAAAGTGCTTTATTTTAAATAGTGTTTTATAGTTTCTACTTACATTTTTTCATCTAGTCTTAAAAACAATCCCTTAAGATAAGTAGAAAAGATATTATTATCATCCCCATGTTACATATAAAGAAACAAGACTCAGAAACATTTATTGACCTTCCTGAGGATGTTTATAATTTATAGGACTGATACTTGAATTTATATCTTCTAAACTCTAATCTAGTGATTCTAGTCCAGAATATTGTTTCTACAATAGTTTCAAGACTTTATAAATTACAAGTTATTTTGTTTTCTATCACATGATTTTAAAAATAAATTGTATAGTTCTGAGAAGTGAAAAGACTTTGTACTTTATTACATATGATAGGCAAATACCAAGATCTTAATATGCAAGTAGATTTTGTTACCAATGATTTTCTAGTTACTTTATTGATAAAGTAGATTCAAAAACTCTCCACTTAATAAACTGATATACCACAGTTTAAAATAAAACATTGCACTGCTCCCTCTGCATTACCCTTTTATTTCTGCACACACTAACCTTTGGACTAATGTCTTTGTCTAGTTCTTCCCCTTAGACTGCTAGTATGCTATCACCATACTTTCTGTGCTTGGATCTGCCTTCATCAATAGCTTTCTACCTTCACCCCTTCACCCCATCTTAAGCTCTACAAACAGTATAAATGTGTACCATTTAGCCTGACTCTTGCTCTTAAGTCATTCCTTGATTTATTGTACAAGTTCCTGTTTGGACACATGATACTCCCAAGGCCAAGGGAAAGTACAGAATCTGATTATTTGCTGATATGGTGGGCTCTATTCTATCCAGAGCCTAATTCACTCTTTGGCAGAAACATAGGTTCCTAGCAAGACAAATGAGCTCTTTCAAACTATCAGGAGATCATGTAGAACACTGAAGCTATCAAGGATCTTACAGCAACAATACACTACTAAATGTCCATAAGTGGCTTGAAAGAGTCAGTTCTGAGCCAGGGTTCAGAAGATGTAATTGAGAGCCTAAGGCAGAGAGAAGATAAGGTGTAGCAGGAAGACCTACACTCGATAAGACAGTCATAATAATGACAACTATAGAGTGGGGGAACAAAGGAAAATCAAACTAACTGCCAAACTTATCAGTGAAAGATTCCTGTTAGAAACAAAAATATGAACCTAAAACATAATTGGTATTAAAAAAATCAATGCAATTTCATCCAGGATATGATTACAAATGTATATTTTAAATTATGTTGAAAATTCATTTGAATTAACAAGTATACTATGGCTAACATGCATGCAAACTTAACTCCCTTTAAATATGTGATTTACATTAAGATCCTACTCTTGTCTTTGAAATAACAGGAACTGATTTACTAATTAGATTGTAGAATAGAACTAGGTTCTAAGTATGGTAGAATATAAATTTAATTTCCATGTAAGCTAATTACATAACAGATCTCATAAAGTATTCATTTTTCCTGCAAAACTCAATGAGCCCTAATCCAATGTTTCTTACTGTAGGACACACTCCACCTACACTTTCATTCTCATCTTCAGAGAATGCTGTTATCTTGCCAGAATATTTAGTTGTATAAAGAAAAAGTATTGTATATGTCCTTAGAACAATTACAGTCAATAGTTTGAACTTCATAAAACAACATTCAAAACCTTATACATAACCAGGCATTAATAATTTTGCAATGGTTAATGGAACTGATGGGAAAAAGGTTATATGTCTTTGTGTTCCTCTTAAAGATTTTAGCCACACTTTTAATTCTGATCATTTTTCTCCTCAAGGAAATAGTATACCACATAGTAATTTGTAATCATTTGATTCTTAAATGAGATTTGACAAGTCTTTCTTATTTATAATATGAGGTGGCAACTAAGCTAATTCCTTTACAAAGAGTAGACATGAAAAACTTTCCTTAAGAGGTAATCACAGATTTTAGATAGATTTTCTAATGCCCAGTGTCCCATAAAAAGACTTGGAGGTACTTTGTCTTTCTGGTATCATTTTCAAAGCCAGCCTTTTTTTAAATCATAATAAACAGGTGAGTCAACCCACAATGCAACCACATCAGACAAATCTGTGGAGAATAGGGGAGAATAAAGGAAAAGGCTTTAAAGGACTATGTTTGATCTCAGGCTAAACTTTTTAAGAAATGATTCCATGTTTACGTATTAGGTAAAGTCTTCCTACTGTACTACTGTGCAAAAAAAAAACCCTGCTATAAATATAAAGCTAACTCAGATAGGAAATTATTTTGGCCTCCCTGAGACCTTTCTATTTATGTTCTATTGATGTGGTTTTGAAGTTTAAAGATACAGAATTCTGGGTTTTTATTTGATCATAGCCAAATTAGTACAAAGTTATCAAAAATGGTATTAAATAACTTAAGTTACTGTTCTTAAGGTTTTTTCAAACTTTTTACTTTGATGACACAATGAGTTTAAAAGAAAAATAGCAAAATATTTTAATACTTTATTCACTAAGGCATTACCAAATGAACTCAAACACAAGGAGAAGCATACAGTGTTATACATGTTAAACATGAACTTTCTTCTCACTTATATTCCCTGATAGTAAAATATGATGTCTAAGCTATTGAAGGCCACTTGGATGCACTATAATGTAGCATTAAAAGGGTGTTCATTCCTTTAGGCTACCAAACTGATCTGGGTTATCTTCCTCTTATGCAACAGTTGATATTTTGCTCCTGTACAGTCTCCTACAATAGTGTGACTTAAAACAGCACAAATTCAGTCTAAGTCATATTTTTGCAATTGCCAAATAATATTTTTAGTTTAAAATGTATTGGCAAGGTGGTAATTATGATAAACACCTATTTAATACCAGTTGAATGAATGTTATCAAGTCTGCAAATATTTATTAATCTCTTCCCATAGTCAGACTTACAAAAATACATAAAGCAGCAGAAGCAACTCTTGTCACTAAAGAGATTACAATTGAATTACAAGTGTCTTAAAGGAAGAATTTCCAAGGTTACACCGGTATGGGGGGAGGAGTCTGAATATTATCTAAGCTTAACTTCTACTTGTTCTGCCTATGAGCATCATATTTGTGTCCATTTGTAAATCTTACTGATGACTGGAAGATTTTTCTGTAATGAGTAGAGTGCAATCGTTCTTAAAAGAAAAGACCTGAGCCACCTGGTGTCAGCAAAGTTCTTTAGAATCAAAATCTCATCCTCCTCAATTTAAAAAACAGTTTCTGAAAGTGACCCCAGATTGGTCACTAGGTCATGACACTCTTGACTCATAGTCAATGGGATTTAAAAGAGATCAATAGAAGCTGCAAATACCTGGGCTTTAAAAAGTTAATTTTGTAAGCCTTTAAGTGCTACCAAATGACCACCACATGCTTATTTCCACATCTGAAGTTACAAATGTCCCTTAAAGGAGATTTACACTTCTCCAAAGTTTTAATGAGAACTAGAGGTCAAAAAAGAAATGAGAGTATAAGAAGAATAGGCAATGAGGACCAGATAAGAGAGGGCCACTCATAAATGAGATTCTCAAAGAATTTTCATAGAGCAAAGGAAGGGAAAGGAGAACTGTGTTGCGTTTTCGCATTGCTGTTAACAAGTGTGATACTTTAAATATATATATATAATGAATCTCTCCAATGACATCATAAGTTGGATCATCAAAATCCCATGAGACTCCTAGCAGGTTAACTCTAACATAACGAAAACCTGATGGAAGTAATATTGAGATTTCAAAACCAGAAAGCACCTTAAAGAGATCAACTAATTTAACTTATCATTGTGAGGACAAGAAAACGAAGACTCATACCGAGAAGGGCACTTGCTAGTTACAAAACTAGTTAGGGAGTGATCAACTGTAGAGACCTCATGATTTCCTAATCTATGGTCTTAATCTTATTCGCTTTTTTTTTTAACCCCTTCTGCTCGTAGGCATTGCCTGAGTTACTCCGAAACATCGCTCTGTGTTCCCACCCGTATCTTCTTTCGCTTCCCCATTTCCTCTTACCTGAGGTCAACACCAAGATCACTGCTTGGAGTTTCGCAATTTCTAGAGGATCTTAGCTGAAGAACTGGGCATGCTCAGTAGCTTACCCCCACCCCCACCCCCGCCCCCTCACGCTCCCAAATAGAACTCAAGGAGCTCAGAGAACTGCAGCCAGGCGAGCCGGACAGGCAGAGCCCAGCAAAGTTAATCTGTTACCTTTCAGGTGAACATTTGTAGTACTCTAGGTAGACACTAAGTGTTCATCCTGTGCAAGAGCAGCCTCCTGAGCTACAGTCACGGACGGATAGCCAACTGCGTAACTGTGGGGCATGTTTAAAGAAGTCGAATGCTTCCTGTTATTAATTTTCAAAAAGTGGACGGTACTGGGAGAAGTGTGAAAGGAAGTGGGAAGAAAAATATAGGAATTTTAAAAAATAATAAAGCTGCCTGCAAAGTAAAAGGTGTAAGGAATACATTCTAAGTCCAAGTCTTGGTGTCTTGGGCAGTAGGAAGGGCAGGTCAAGGAGCACAGGGAGCACCCACCTGTTTTCCTCCCGCCCGCAGCGCTAGAGACAGAAGGAAAACCCCCATCTCGCCCTTCAGCTCCAGCTCGCATCTCTCACGGGATGGGTGTAGGGGGGCTCCGGGCCTCACGCAGCCATGATACCCTTGGCCAACGCAAAAGGGAGGCGTGCGATGAGTAGAGGAGTCGAGTTGGGTGGGGATGCAGGTACCTACCGAAGAGGCTGTGGTCCTGCCGTGTGCCCTGCACGCTGCCATCGGGCAAGATCTGCAGGTGGAAACCGGTGCGGCAGTAGAGCTGCCGGCGACGCAGGATGCCGTGCAGGTGCGCCAGCTCCGCAGACCCCGGCCCGCCGCGGGCGCCCCGCTCCGCCGCGCCCCGGCGCTCGCCCAGCAGAGGCGGCCGCTCCCCGGCAGGAGGCAGCAGGAAATGCGAGCCCACCTGCTGGCCCAAGCCCTCCAGGCCGCCCAGGAAGCCCCCCACTTCGGCTAAGGGAGCCATGGAGGGACCAGAGGGAACGGTGAAAAGACCAAAAAATAAAAGACCTCCTAATAAAAAAGTATTAGCAGGGTTGGCGAGGTGGATGGAGAGAAATTATAGCAAAACGAGAGCGGTAAATTAAGGCCCAGTTACTCCTTTGAGGTCGCTGGAGGGACTGTGCACTGAGATGGCAGGCAAGAGGAAGAGTTCACTGTCTTGGAGCGATCTTCTCTCTTTAGGTAGGTAAGAGCCGGCTGGCTTTGCAGAAACATCTGTAACTGCCGCTGCCAATACCAGGTTGGAGCTGGGGCTGGGGGCTGGGGCTCCAACTCCGCAAACTGATCAGATCAGAGTCCTGTGTACATACACACCGAGTATATATGCGGGTCCTCTTGACATATGCTAATCAAGTCCTTTCATGCGCACTGGGGAGGTGGGTTCTGTTTGAAATCTTAAACCGGCCTCCTCTCAACACGTTTTTGCTCTTCGGAAGTGACCAAAAGGGGCCCTTGACGGTTCTCTACCCATGCATTCGCAAAAATCATTCCTGCACTTAGCCAAAGTCAGCCCGCAAATTCCGGGAGGCTCAGTCGAGGCCCCTGTTGGGGTTGTCTTTTGGACAACAGGGATGCTGTTTGGCTGCTGCTGTGCAACCGCCTTTGATGTGAGCTCCTTTGCAGTGATAGATCGTGGCCCAGCTTGGCAGTAAATAGAATGGGGGGGGGAGTTGAACAAAACAGGGGCGGGAGGAGGAAAAGGAGAGAAGAGGAGGAGAATTGGACTCCTTGGGAGCTGCTGGGAGCCTGCCTTGGACAGGTGCAAAGAAAGGTAAGAGAGGCAGAAGGAAAAAGGGCGTTACCTGAGGCTTAGACCTGCCCAGACACACATGAAAGGAAAATCAAAGCCATGACAGTTTAACTCACTAATTTGAAAATACTACTAAAATGTACAAGCATTACTCTTTTCTTTTATCATTTAGATGGGGGATTTTCTTTACATAATCAAGGTTAGGTTAGGAACACCCTGCCCCCCTTACCCAGTTCTCTTTAATGTTTATCTTTACTCAGAGAGCATATGATATAACCATGATTGCCTTATATCTGTATGGAAGCTTAAAATTGCTAAGGTCCTGAGCCTTTAATTTACATATATAATAACATAATATCATCATGAATCAGCGGATTAAGAGTACATCCAAATCGGCTGGTTTACATTCTTATATTTTGCCATGAGTAGATGATGAATATTGGGATAGTGTCATAAATGAATGAGCAGCCTCTAGGGCTCTTACCCAATCTAAGAGTACTTGCCTGTGATTGTTGCATTTTCCTAAAGGTTAGCTTTTTTTGTTCACATTTCTATTATTAAAATCTAAAACAACTGAATTGAAATACTGTTGGTTCTTGGTGAGTTCTGAGACTTAAAAATTTATCAGTAAAACTTAATAAGGTCTGTACATATTTGTATAAACAGAAAGCCATTGAAGTGAGGGAGTTAGATACATTTAAATGAAGCTTCAATTAGTAGCACTAAATTCAAGATTTTTCCATTAAAATTTTTCAGTGGCAGAAGAGTTAAGAATCATTCAGCAGATTTATGCTTCCTTTGAGCTAGAAGTTTAAGAGAATCACTCAAGATTACTTTTTCAGTCTTGCTTCATGGTCTGTTCAGTAAAAGTTTAAGCCCTGGGAGTTCAGTTGAATTTGACTAGTTTATTTTTTCTGAAGGCCTTTTTTTGTTTTTTTTCTTTTTCACTAATTAATTGGCAGGTGCTTTAAAGTAGGTAAAGTTACACCTTTTCATCACTACAGACCTAACTACTGACCCTTGTGCAACCAAGTTATAAAAGAGTCCTTAAAGCAAGTGATTTACTGTTGATAGATATGAAATAAAACAAAACACTGGCTAAAAACAATAAACAAATAAATCACTTTAGAAACATATATTGCTGTCTGTTTTAAAGGTTGTACCAGGTAAATGTATTATTTCACCTTTCAAATAACAACAGTCTGTCTTGTGGTAGGACCCCCAAATCCACCATAATCAAGATTTCAAAGCACATCTGTGTAAACATTATCACAGTGTAAAACATCAACCAATGAGCTTTTACTTTGAACCAAATCTTCTTAATTGCAGTTTTAAATCAAAGAAAGTTAGATCAAAGTTGTGTGAATCTCATAGCAGGATAACTAAAGTAGCCAGAACATACATTGATCACTTTTAAAGAGGAGGTACTTAAAGGTTTTAAACGTAGATCAAGTGCCTTTTAATGAGGTTTGTTTCAAGGTCTAAGTCCTATGCAACGTAAAATGCTATTAATTATTATGCAATGAATACATATTATTGTCACCTGTTCCTTAAGGACTAGTCTATAAAACATTTCCTCACATGAACACTTTAAGTCCTGCTGTATAATCTATAGCTCTGAGACTGTTTAAATCTCTTGTATCACACACACGCACACACACACACACACACACACACCACAATATGGGGAATTTTTCACACATTCAGCAAAGCCCAAGAACACTAATAGCAGAGCTGCCTCCACCTCGGCATTATTATGTGCATTCCCTTATTCGAGCCCCACAATCACTCTATGAGACAGGCATACCCATTTTATTGAGAAAAAGAATTTCTGGATTCTGTCTAGTTTGCTTAGTCCAGAGTCCAACATTCCAGGGCAATTCCTCTTTTATAAAATAAAGACAATACAATTCCTGCTTCGTTTACTATGTCTAAGGTTGCTATGGGACTTAAATATGAAAATATATGTAGAAAAGAGGTCTTGATACTATAAAGTTTTGTATACATACAGTACTAGACAACTTCAACTACTGGAATTTTTAACTTTATAATTAAGCAAATGCAATTTGTTTGAAATGCAAAACAAACCCTTTTTTCTCAAACCAAACCTTTAATGTGTAAGTTTTGAATGGTGCTTAATGCCATTTTATAAAAGACCAGAATAGAAACAAAAAGATAAGGATTTCTTTTGTTTGTTCTAGTCATGTGACAGGAAAAGATAACACTAAAGATTTTTTTTGCACATGCTGTGATGATATCATGGGAAGTTAAATAATTTTGAAGAGTGTTTTACAAGAGTACATTATTCAACTTTTAAGTATACACTGCAATCTAATCAACTTTAGCTATACTTCCTAGAGACCACACTTGCCTTGCTGTTATACAAATATGTGGTACAATTCCTACTTCCACAAAATGTAGTCACGGTTTTCCAGACCATATAATCCTATATTGTTTTTCAGACAGCATATTCTCATGAGCCTTTGTTTTTACACATGAGAAAAGAGTTAATAATTTTTGAGGCCTCTAAACTTGAGAAAAAGAGCTCATTTAAAAGTCATGATTTACACTTCCAATAAAATTAAAGTACGTTTGCACATTATTATTGACTTTTTGGTAATTACAGAACATTTCCAGCAACACAAGTTTCCACACATAAGAAATTGATTGAATAAATTATGATACACACAACGGAGTATTACATAGCTGAAAAAAATAAGACAGAACTATAAACTTATAGAGAATATTTCCAGGATGTGTTGCTAAGTGAAGCAAACAAAATTCAAAAGGAGTTTACCTAGTGTGCTACCTTTCCTGTAAGAATGAATTTCTACATGTATATGTTTATTTTAAAAAATAAATAAACAGGACTGGGGCTATAGTGTAGTGGTAGAGTGCTTGCCTGGCATGTGCAAGGTCCTGGGTTTGACCCCCAGTACCACAAACAATCAATCAATCAGTGAATAAATGAATACAGGATGGATAAATCAAAAACTGATAAAATTTTTACCTGCTGGATAAGGGATGGAGGAGTGACACTTTTCTGAGAACTTTTTGTAGAGTTTTGACTTTTGAAGAAATGTTTACTTTTTAAGTAAAATGAAGTTAACAAGGATGAAGAAGAGGATGTAATAAAACCAAGAACAAATGAATGTATGTGTACAGGTTCAAATGACTAATGTACCATGACCAAGTGAATAACATAACCACACAAAGAGAACAATATTACTTTTAAAAATAAGTGATTTTCAAATATGGTTCTCTGATTATACATCAAGGGCAAATGACCAAAATAAATAAATAATAAACAAATACTGAACTTCATTGAGAAAGATTGTTTTTCTCTGTGGTAGGAGTTAGAATAGTATTATAGGATTGAGCAAATAAATAAATATGCTGAGGATATGAGAGGAGTTAGGGGTTTCGTAGTTAGAGAATGGAGTTCAAATATGCAAAAGAGGGAAGGCTAAAATAAGCCCTGTAATGCTGAATTGGAACTGGCTGTTATCAGTGCTAATACTTCAGCACATGGTGCCTCTAGGGAGTGTGTGTGTGAGTGTGTGTGTGTGTGTGTGTGTGAAAGAGCTCTGTCCACTCAAAGGGCCTAGCAGCAAACATATAACAAACATATGCTAAGGCTAGATTTTGTTTCTCAATTCACTCTCCTACTAAAATTACTCAGGGAAACAGAGTAATCTCTGTTTCAGGATTGGGTATCTTTTTATGCCAGAAAGCAAGGAAGTACTCAAAAAATGATGAGGACCTCAGAAAAGGATAATAAACTAAATTTGGAACATTTGAATTTCAAAATAAACAATGATAGGAATGAGATATTTGTGGACAGAATAAGAATCTTTAAGTGCAACAATTTAAGTAAAGAACTAAACAAATAAATGAAGGAAAAAGGAAAACCTGTTCTTGAGGTAGAATACTAACTAATAAATACTGAAAGAATGAGAGAATTTTGCACCCATCATAAGAACATTTCTGGTCCAAAGTCACCAATGCATGACAAAACTAGTGAGTAAATTTTGATGAAAACAACAACAAGATGATAAAAAAAAGAGAAAAATATTGATGAAGAGTCTCAATTACAAACAGAAAACAGTAACTTTAGAGTGAATTGATCTAGTGAATTAATGTTTTACCCAAGTAATAAAAATAAACAGGAGCTGGAGATGTAGCTCAGTGGTTGCTTGCCTAAGATGCACAAGGTCCTGGACTCCATCCCAGTACCACAAAAAAATCAAACAAAAGAATAATGTGACAAAACAGCACCATGTAAATCTTGA